CGCCCTGAGTCCCCCCCGGGGTGAGAAGGGCGGGGTATAAGTAAATGAAATAAATGAAATAAATAAATAAATACTCAAATTTGCATGTTTTCGAACTGCTAGGTTGGCAGAAGCTGGGGCTGACAGCAGAAGCTCGCCCCGCTCCCCAGATTCAAACCTGTTACCTTTCGGTTAATATGTTTAGCAACTCAGTGGTTTAACCCATTGCACCACCAGGGGCTCCATATATATATGTGTGTGTGTGTGTGTGTGTGTGTGTTATTATTTTATCATTCAATATGTCCACCATCATGCATTGTTATGCACGTATTCGATGCATCACTCTAGCTAACGCTTCTCTTAACTGGGCCTTATTCTTGGCATGAGGTTTATATTACCAACATCATGCTAGATCTTAATTACCTGTTAGGTCTTACTTTTGGGGGAATAGGGTATATTCTGAAAGGGTTGAAGGCGCTTTCAAGTGTGTCCCTCTTGGCCCAGGGCTCCTGGCGCTCGCCGTTGTGGATGAGGCTTTGAGGAGCAGCCGCTGGGTTTGGTCCGCTTTGGGCAATGGGACGTCTGTTTGGGACCAGGCCCGGGTTCCCCTCGGGGCCAGAAGCCGGCCCTTCCAGGTAGGCCCCCATTCTATTTGAGGCCATTGGGATGCTACTCTCTGGAACAGCTTGCAAGAGGCAGGCAGTTCTCCGACATCCATAGATCTGGGAGTTCTGGGTTACTGCAAAGGGGTAGCCCAGAATCCCTTCTCCTTTCCCCCCTCCAGCTTGAGCTCCTGGCCTCAGAGGACCACCACGGGAATGACGCAGGGGGTCCGACGGTTGCTGTGGGCAACGTGGCTTTCCAGGACTGTGACCCTGCGGCTTCCCTGCTGACCAACCCCTCAGGTCAGGAACAACAACAATAGCAATATGCCTTCAAAGCATTTTCAATCTATATAAAATAGAGATTATATAAAATATAATAAATCTATATTCTGTTTGTATTTTAATATATGTGCTAGCATATGTAAGTGGCTCTGAGTCCCCTTCGGGGCGAGAAGAGCAGGGTAGAAGTATAGTAAAGAAATAATAAACAGTTGGGACTGTGGCCCATCTCTGTCTTCTCTCTTTCGTCCCTTCTTTCATCCCATCCTCTCTCTTCCCTTTTTTCTCTATTCCTTTCCCCCAAATCTTTCCCCTTTTTCTTTTCTTTCTTTTCCTTTTCTTTCTTTTCCTTCCCTCCTTTTTCTTTCTCTTTTCCTTCTCACTTTCTTTCTTCCCTTCTTTCTTCTTTCCCTTTTTCTTCCTCTTTCCCCTACCTTCTTCTTTCCTTCCCCCACATCCTCTTCCCTTTCCTTTCCCTTTCTTCCTTTCTCTTTCCTTCCCTCCCTCATACCTTTCCCCCTTTCCTTTCTTTCTTTCCTTCCTTCTTTTTCCTCTCTTCCCCCACTTCATTCTTTCCTTCCCTCATATCCTCTTCCCTTTCCCTTCCCTTCCTTTCTTCTTATAATTTTATATTGTTTGTATTCACATGTTTTATGTAATTATGATGTTGTTTATTGTTCGTGTTTTCGGTTCGCATTTTTGGTTTTTCTTTATTGTAATTGTAAATGTAAGCCACTCCAAGTCCCCATCGGGGAGATGGTGGCGGGGTATACATAAAGTTTTATTATTATTATTATTATTATTATTATTATTATTATTATTAATAATAAAATAAATAAATAAATACAATTATTATTGTTTTTTTTAATTATTATTATTATTATTATTATTATTATTATTATTATTATTATTATTATATTCTTTCCTTCCTTCCCTCATACCTTTTTCCCTTTCCTTTCTTCCTTCCCATCCCATCTTTTTCCTCTCTTCCCCCACTTCCTTCTTTTCTTCCCCCATATAATCTCCCATTTCTTTTCCTTTCCCTTTCTTTCTCTTTCCTTCCTTCCCCCATACCTTCCCCCTTTCCTTTCTTCCTTCCCATCACTTCTTTTTCCTCTCTTTCCCCACTTCCTCCTTGCCTTCCCATATCACCTCCCATTTCCTTGCCTTTCCCCCTTTCCTTTCTTCATTCCCTTCTTTTTCCTTTCTTCCCCACCTCCTTCTTTTCTTCCTCCCATATCATCTCCCATTTCTTTTCCTTTCTCTTTCCTTCCTTCCCTCATACTTTTCACCCTTTCCTTTCTTCCTTTCCTTCTTTTTCCTCTCTTCCCCCACTTTCCTTTCCTTCCCCCTATATCTTTTACCCTTTCCTTTCCCTTCTTTCTCTTTCTTCCCTTCACCCCACATCTTTTCTCCTATCCTTTCCCTCCCATCTGTCCTTCCTTTTTCTTCCTCCCTTCTCCCTCTTCCTCTTTTCCTTTCTGTAGGGAAAGTGGAGTCAATCTGCATGAATTCTGTAGTGCAGCCTGACTTAACCCCATTGCTATTCACCATCCGGATTCTGGGATGTGTCTTTCTCCTCTTTGGGGACGTAATGGTTTGAAAAAGCATCCCAACGCATCTCCTTGACCTCACACTTCTCCTCCTCCTCCTTTTCCCCTTCCCTTGCTTCTTTCTCTCCGGAGCAGGGCTCTCTTGCAACTTCGAGGCTGGAGGCTGCGACTGGTTCCCGGATCGGAGCTACGGCTTTGAATGGGAGCTGAGCACCAGCCAGGAACGGGGCCCGGACCACACCACTGGATCAGGTAGCCCACGATGGTGGATCAAGTGGTGCTGAACTGCATTAATGCTACAGTACAGATGCAGCCCCTTTGTATGAGTCTTCAACCCCTCCCTCTGCCTTTCTACCTCTCACTTTCGCATCTTCCCAGGCAGAAAGTGGAGGGGTTTGTGAAGATTTGGAACCAGGATCCAGACAAAAATGCTATGTTTCCCCCCCCCCCCTCCTAAAACCCAGGCTCCTTCATGTCTGCGGACCCTTCTTCCCCCGGAGCCCAAGGCCTCAGCGCTCGCCTGGTTTCTTCCCCACAGAAGCCTCTGTCCAACTCGACTTGCTTTTCCTTCTGGTACAGAATGGAGGGGCCCCAGATTGGTAAGATGGTGATAATAACACTGTGTAACACAGCTTTTGTTCCTGGGCTATAAATGTAAAAAAACACCCCTCGATACTATAATAATAACCATGTGACTGTAGAATTGGTGAGAAGCAACTGGAAAGGCATAAGATCAAACTGCAAAGACTCTGGCACAAGCCAGTCAAGGGGGTCCCAGTAGTGGTGGGCACACCGGGTGCAGTGCCTAAAGACCTTGGCCTGCACTTAAAAACAATTGGTGCTGACAAAATTACCATCTGTCAGCGGCAAAAGGACACCCTACTGCAGTGGTTCTCAACCTGGGGTCTCCAGATGTTTTTGGCCTACAACTCCCAGAAATCCCAGCCAGTTTACCAGCTGTTAGGATTTCTGGGAACTGAAGGCCAAAAACATCTGGGGACCCAGGTTGAGAACCACTGCCCTACTGGGATCTGCACGTATTATTCACCGATACATCACACACTCCTAGACACTTGAGAAGTGTCCAACGTATGATCAAATGCAAAAGCCAGCATTGTGACCTTGTTTGCTGTGTACTCATCTTGTGTATCAAATAATAATAATATATATCTCAATCATAATAATATAAGTCCTAAACACTTGGGAAATGTTCGACTTGCGATTTTGTGATACGAAATCCAACATGTGTATCTTGTTTGGTGTGTCTTAATGTGTTTTTGTGTCAGTAAATAATAATAATAATAATAATAATAATAATAATATAATTAAAAAACGTTATTTATACCCCGCCATCATCTCCCATAGGGAGTCGGGGCGGCTTACAAAATAACACACAGTGGTGCCATGCAACACATAAAATGAAATACATCAACATATAAAATCAATAATATATTTACATAAGACCAGGGATATATAATTAACAAAAGCAATCTCTGTTAAATAAAATGAGCAAAATTTAAAGGATCCATCCATACAATCAATTTAGTGTCCCAGCTGTATAATAATAATATAATATAAGATAAGATAAGATAAGATAAGATATATGCTCTGTGCATAATGAGTACCTTAAAAACAAAAGAACCAATGAATGAAATCACACCAAATTGGCAACAAAACGTCTCACACAAGGAGTGACCATCACTCAAAAAATTATGATTTTGTCATTTGGGAGTTGTAGTTGCTGGGATTTATGGTTCACCTACAATCAAAGAGCATTCTGAACTCCATCAACAATGGAATTAAACCAAACTTAGATAGATAGATAGATAGATAGATAGATAGATAGATAGATAGATAGATAGACAGATAGATATGATTCACACACACACAGATATAGTATCATAGATTTGAAAGGGACCCCTAAAGAAGGACAATTATATGTTGCATGTTCCAGAGTAGGCAAACCAGACAATCTCCACATTAACACTGACATAGAAACAACAAGGAATACTGTTTACCCACAAGCATAAAGACATTACATATATTAGAAACCATTACTTTATTTTCCAAATCACCAGACTGGGGCCACAGCAACACGTGGCAGGGGACGGCTAGTAGTACTACTACTACTACTACTACTACTACTACTACTACTAATAATAATAATAATAGGAAGAGATTGTTATTCAAGGTGGGGCCTGGCTAAAACAGAAGAGAGAGTGGGACTAGGACTTCCCTTGATCTCAGCACTCTCTTGATGCAGCCTAGAGTTGTGCCTCTTTGCAAATTATGGGATTTGCAGTCATTAGAAAATCACATTTTAAAACAACATCCTTCTCAGAATCGCATTCATCTTTTTTGCTGCTGCATCACATTCCTGGTTATCTTATATAATTGTTTACAACCCTGATTTTGCTATGTAATAATAATAATAATAATAATAATAATAATATGCTCAGTTTATGCCCAGTTGCAGACTGAGGACAGCTTGCAGTTGGAAGCCCATGTTCTGTCCTGTCTCCTTTTTGCAGGGACTCTCAACCTCTTCTTGAAATCTGCTGGAGAACCAGAGCAAGCCATTTGGAGCCAGACAGGGAGCCAGGGGTCAGTGTGGCACCGGGCTTCGGTTACTGTCCCCCACCCTACACTCAGCCAGAGCTTCCAGGTCCGCCCTTCTGTCTCTGGTCCATCTCTTGGGATCTGGGTGGCCTATGAGCCGTGGGTCGTCTGTGGCCTGCATTGCAAGGCTGGCCCTGCTTTTGATTTCTCTTGTTTCTGGGGGAAAGAGCCACCTTTTGAGAGCAATTTGGGTCAGTTCAGCTGTAGGAAAAGCCTTTGGGGGAACTCCATTAGTGTCAAAGGTGAAGCCCAACCCTCAGCCCACCTTTTGCGGGCCATTTGGGTAAATTTAGGCCTTTGGGGGGAAATCATTTAATGTCAGAGGTGAGGCCTGACTGCTAAGATGGCCACAAGGAATAGTTTATGCACATTTTGAAAGTCATGTTGGTCAATTTAAGCCTGGGAGAAGCCATTAAGGGAAGGCCATTAGTATCCTAAATGAAGCCCAACCCCACAGGCCACCTTTTGGGGGCCATTTGGGCCAGTTCAGGCCTTTGGGGGGAAGTCATCAAGATCAGAGATGGGGCCTAAGCACCATGACATTCACACAGATCATTGCTGCACCTTTTGAGGGGCCTTTGGGGCCTTTTGAGGGGCCTTTGGGGCCAGTCTTTAGGGGGATGCCATTGACCTCATAGATGGGGCCTAGGCACCATGAAGGTCACACGGGATCGTTGCTACACCTTTTGGGGGGACTTTGGGTCAGTTCGGGTCTTTGGGTGGACGCCATTGATCTCAGAGATGGGGCCTAGGCACCATGAAGGTCACATGGGATCGTTGCTGCACCTTTTGGGGGCTTTTGGGGCCAGTTCAGGTCTTTGGGGGGATGCCATTGACCTCAGAGATGGGGCCTAGGCACCAAGAGGGTCACAAGGGGTCGTCGCTGCACTTTTTAGGGGGGCTTTGGGGCCAGAAACACAGTTGCCCGTTGTCTTCCTCCCGTAGTTGTCCTTCGAGGCCTTCCGGAATGGCTTCCTGGGCTCCATGGCACTGGACGACTTCTCCGCCATCCCCGGGACCTGCGGGGCCCCCACCCGCTGCTCATTTGAGGTGGACGACTGCAGCCTCTTTTCCGGAGAGCGGCCATCTTGGATGCGGCAGAGTGGGGACCAGGAGTCGGGGCCCCCCAGGGATCACACATTGGGGTCGCCCCAAGGTCAGTGCCTCCCCTTTCCTCCTCTTCCTCCTCCTCCACGTTCGGAGCTGCATCAAAGAGAGTGACTTTGGAATGCATTTGGCTCTTTCCAGGGCATTATCTGCTCCTCAACACCAGCCAGAGCGCTCTGCAGCCCGGTCAGACAGCCATCTTGCACTCCCTGGCCTTCCCGCCGGGCCGCCGTCTCCATTGCATCACCTTTTGGTACCACCTGAGAAGCAGCCGCCCAGGTAAGCCCCCGTTGGGCCCCGTTCTGTTTTGTTCTGTTGGACTATTGTGTGTGTTTTAAACATTGCCCTAAGCCCAAGTTTCTAGTCTATAAAAGGGCAATGTGACTTTTCAGTACACTCCTGGAGCTTTTGGTTACTTTTAAAACTGGTCCTTGAAAATATAATAATAATAATAATAATAATAATAATAATAATACAGTATAAGAAGAATAAACTATAATAAAATATTAAATATTAAATAATATATAATATGATATAAGAAAAATTAAATAGCAATAGTAAACCGCGTTGAGTCGCCGATTTAGGCTGAGAAATAGCGGTATACAAGCGCAGTAATAAATAAATAAATAAATAATCATAATATGAAATAATAAGCCTTTTTCTAGGGTCTTTGAGAGTCACCATCAAAGAGGGAGGCAAACAGAAGGAGGAGGCGCTGGACGTGAGCCTGGTTCCAGGGGAGGCCTGGCAATATGTCCGCCTTAACATCTCTGTTGAAGATGATTGGCAGGTGAGCAGGACCTCCATTGTTGCAGGACTTCTAGTTTTAAAAAGAGACGCTCTTGGATTAAATATGTGTCATGACTATAATGGCTGGTCCTGACTACTCTGCACATGCTCAGAAGCGCTCTGCTTCCAGGCAGAATGACGTGGCGAACACTCTTCCTTCCCTTCTGTCTTCCCTCCCTCCCTTCTGTCTTTATTCCCTCCCTCCCTCCCCCCTCTTTCTTTCTTTCTTTTTCTTTGTTTCACTTCCTTTTTCCTCCCCTCCGTTTTCTCCTTCCTTCCTTGCCCACCATCTTTCTCTTTCAGCCCTTCTTTCTTTTCTTCCTCTTTCCTTTCTTCCTTTCTCTTTCATTTCCTTTTCCTTCCTTCCTTACCATTTTCCTCTTTTGGTCCTTTCTTCCTTTTCTTCTCCTTCCTTCTTCCCTCGTTCTTTCCTTCTTTCCCTCCCTCACTCCCTCTTCTCTTCCTTGTTTTCCCTCCTCCCTTCCTCTCCTGCTTTCTCTTCACTTCTTCCTTTCTTCCCTTTTCCCTTTCTTCCATCCCTTCTTTCCTTCTGTCGTTTCTTCTTCCCCCTTTTTCCTTCTGCTTTTCCTTTCCCTCCCCTCCTCATTCTTTCCCTCTCTTTCTTCATCTATCACTCCTTCTTCCCTCCCTCCCTTTTGTCCTTTCTTCCTTCTCCTTTTCCCCCTTTGCTTCCTTCCTTCCATCCTTCCTTCCCTACCATCTTCTTCTTTCACTCCACTCTTTCCCTTACATTTCCTTTTTCCTTCCTCCTTTCCTCTCTCTTCTGGTCAAATAACCAGCACCCAAAGATCTCATCCAGACCCTCCATTTGGGGTGACCCCAGCCTTATTGTTATTGTTATTGTTGTTATTATTGTGATGCCTTGGTGTCTCCTTTGGGCAGGTGGCCTTTGCAGTGGAAGGGGCTGCCGAGGGACCCTCCTCCTTCCTGGCTTTGGATGACCTCCTTGTGACGGAGGGAGGCTGCCTTGGGGCTGGTGAGAGTGGCCATATTGTCCCTGAATCATGGCATCTATCTATCTATCTATCTATCTATCTATCTATCTATCTATCTAGCTAACTATCTATCTAGCTATCTATCTATCATCCTCCCAATCATATTTATGGTTGGCTGGCCATCTGCCAGGAGGGATTGGATGGTGCCTTTCTCTATGGCAGAAGGGGTTTAGAATGGATGACCCTTAAGGTCTCTTACAATAGGAGCCTCTGATACGCCTATCATCTTTCTCTCTCTCTCTCAATCATATATGTGTATTTCTCTCAGTTCTATCCATCCTTTCTATGGCTTGATGATCCTCTGTTGGAGGGGTCAGATGGTGCCTTCCTTCCTGGCAGAAGGGGGTTGGGCTGGAGGGCCATCTTTGGGGGTCTCTTCCCACCACTCTCTCCCTGTCCCCTTGCCGCAGGGTCGTGTGACTTTGAGCGGGGCCCCTGTGGCTGGAGCAAGCCCCCCGGAGCCTGGTCTAGCTGGGGTTGGAAGGCCGGGGACACTCCCTCCCAGTTGCTTTCCTCGAAGACCAACCGCACTTTTGGCACCAAGGAAGGTAAGGCCAAAAGAGAGGCGGCCTTCCCCCTGGGGGCCCAAAGGCCTAGATGGGTGGCCCTCGACGTCCCTTCATTGGCCTTTCTGCTTCCAGGCCACTATGCCTTCGTGGACCTGGCTCTTCTGGGGCAGAGCGTGGCCCGACTGGCTAGCGAGCCCCTCCCTCCGGCCACCAATGCCTCCCTCCGCTTCCATTACTACATGGACTTCCTTGGCCAGAATTGTAAGTCGGGGTGGGGGGCAAGGAGGGTCGGGGTCGTGTCTCTGTGCTGCATTCCATTGCTCTCAGTGGAGATCTCTTGGTTGTAATACCCAGGAAGCCAAAGGAATGCAACACATCCTTCAGTCATACCCTGATCAGTTTTCATTTTCCTCATTGAGCATAACACTAATAAAATCAAGAAATACCACACACACACACACACACACACACACACACACACAAGCTGTCCCCTGCCATGTGTTACTGTGGCCCAGTCTGTGTATATGTGTTTTGTGTGTGTATATGTTTGTGTATATATGTATATATGTGTATTTGCGTATATATGTGTGGTTTTGCACTTACATTGCAATGTAATTTTTTTTTATTTTTTTGGCTTTTTAAGTCTCTTCTGCAGTATTTTTTAGTGTTTTTTGAGTGATGGTCACTTGTTGGCCTGACAGGTATATTGTGTCCAAATTTGGTGTCAATTTGTCCAGTGGTTTTTGAGTTATGTTAATCCCACAAATGAAGATTACATTTTTAGATAGATATATATATTTCTAGAGTTGGAGGATACCCCAAAGACCACCCAGTTCAACCCCTGTCCTCTTATTGTTAATAATAACAACAACAACAACAACAACAACATCACCATCATCTGGCACAAGGCAGTCAAGGCAGTCCCAATGGTGATGGGCACACTGGGTGCAGTGCCTAAAGACTTTGGCCTGCACTTAAACACAATCAGTACTGACAGAATTACTATCTGCCAGCTGCAGAAGGCCACCTTACTGGGATCTGCACGCATTATTCGCCGATGCATCACACACCAAGACACTTGGGAAGGGTCCGACGTATGATCCAATACAACAGCCAGCAGAGTGATCTTGTCTGCTGGGGACTCATCTTGTTGTGTTTCAAATAATAATAATAATAATAATAATAATAATAATAATAATAATAATAATAATAATAATAATATCATCATCATCATCATCATCATCATCCTCCAAATGCTGGATGATGGTGATGAGAGATCTTGTTTGCTGTGGACTCATCTTGTTGTGTACCTAATTATCTATATAAATAAAAATATAATGTTAGTTTGTGGGATTAACATAACTCAAAAACCACTGGATGAATTGACACCAAATTTGGACACAAGACACCTATCAGGCCAACGAGTGACCCTCACTCATAAAAACACCAGACAACACAGCAGAAGAAACTTAAAAAGCAAAAAAAAAACAAAACTATTACAGTGCATGCACAAACCCACATATATACACATATACACAACTATATACACACACATATATACACAGTCTGGGCCACAGCAACGTGTGGCAGGGAACAGCTAGTGTATGTGTGTGTGTATATATGAATGACATTTATTGTTATTTTTAGTGTTCCATTTTCCCTATAAAAGTATTGAATATACGACGAATTTTATTTTATTTTTTAAAGAAGGGAACTTTTGGTGAGTTGCCATAAGCCATAAAATATATATTCTACCAATGTTGTTCAGTCAAAGCACTTCCTTGGAAACCCTCTCATCATGAAACTGTGTGCTCACAAACTCTTCCCCAACCCAGTGGCATCTTCCCTTTGCCTGTTACTTCTTGTTGTCGCCTTGTCCAGCTCAAGCTGAACTCCGGGTGAAAGTGTCCAACTTGGATGGGGAGCGGACGCTCTGGGCAGCCAAAGGGCACCAGGGCCACTCCTGGCTGCAGCAAACCCTCCTGGTGTCCAGCCTCACGGAGTTCCAGGTACCTGATACAAAGAGGATTTTAACGTGGGAATCCATGACAAAAATCCCAGCGAATGCTGGACAACTCAGTGGTGGTGCGCCTGGGCCTTTCCCAAGTCCTGGGTCTATTAATCCCACTCTGTCTTCCTAACCTTGCCTTAGATCCTGCTCGAAGCCACCAGCGGAGCGTGGCCAAATTCGGAGACCATTGCTGTGGATGACGTCTCCTACATCGCTGGGCCTGATTCTGGCGACACCGAAGTGAGCCAAGAGACAGGTAAAGGCTCAGAGATGCATAGGGTTCTAGAGCTGGAAGGGGCACCCGTGGGTCATCTAGTCCAACCCCCGTCTGTCACCAAGGAAGATTTAATTATTTATTTATTTATTTATTTATTTATTTGCGGCATTTATATGCCGCCCTTCTCATCCCGGCTTTCAAAAGATTTATTTTCATACAATATATTATATTATTAGCATAGTACAATATCAGTATTATATATTACTGTATTGCACTATACCATTATATTGTAATATTATTAGTAATATTACAATGTAAATACATAATTATAATATTGTATTATTATTACTAGTATTATATTGTATTACATTATAATATTATATGTATATACAATATACTATATTATTAGTAAAGATGGAACTGTCTTCTGATGCAATCAGAGCCCTCCTGACAGAAGGCCACTGGCCATCTAGGCATAGATATGATACATACACAGATTATTGAAATACAAGTATTGAATCCTAGAGTTGGAAGAGTCCCTAAGGGCCAACTCAATTTGGCAATGCAGGAAGGCACAATCTGATCCCTCTCAAAAGATGCTCATCTAGCCATAAATATGATACGTGTGTGTGTGTGTGTGATGACAGACATAGATATAGAATCTTAGAGTTGGGAGGGGCCCCAAAGGCCAACTCCATTCTGCAATACAGGAAGGCACAATCCAATCCCTCCTGATAGATGGCTAGACAAGCATAAATAGATATAGATATGAGAGACATCAATTGGATACAGATGTGTAATCCTAGAGTTGGAAGGGCCCTTTGGTCCAACTCCATTTAGCCATAAAGTGTTTGGTGAGTGGGCTTATTAACAAAAGACCTCCCCATGAATGTATAGCAGAGTAACTTATTAGCAGCAGCGTGACCCAGCACCAGTAGCCCAAAGTGATAAAAATAATAAAGACACACAGACCAATGTTATTTCTTCCATAATAAAATAATATGGTTGCACTATTTACAAGAACAAGGCTTCCATAACACAAATAAAATTCTTTATACTTCCTTCTTTGTTTCCATGCCGGGCTTCTTTCTCATGCAGACAAACAGCATTGCTCTCACAGAGACTCCTCTCACAATGAGCTTCACACAGTAGCTTTTTACACACAGCAGCCTTCACACTGGAGCTTTCTCGTTGAAGCTTCTCACACTGAGGCATTCTCATACTGAAGCCTACTAACACCGAGGCCTCTCTGGCTGACACCTTTCTCACACTGAGGCATTCTCATACTGAGGCCTACCTCACACTGAGGCCTCTCTGGCTGACACCTTTCTCACACTGAGGCAAACTAACACTGAGGCCTTCTTATACTGAGGTCTACTAACACACTGAGGCCCTTTTCCCACAGAGACTTCTCTCAGACTAAGCTACAGGCACACCTGCTTATATGCAACTGCGGCTTTTGCCGAGTCATTGCATCCATTTAACCCTTTCAGTGCTTGACACACATTTTTGAAATTAAAAATACCTAGTTAATTTTTAATATTTCTGACATTAAGATAAAATCAAATTTCTCCCAACAGATGGCCAGCCAGCCATAGCTAGATGAAAGATTGAGATCGAGAAGTTGGAGGGACCCCAAGGGCCCTCCAGTGGAACCCCATTCAGCCATAATGTTCTTCCCAATGGGACATCCTTTCAGAGATGGAAACATGACTCTCTTCTAGGGCTTTGATTGTTTGGACCTCCCTTCCGTCTTGTCCAACTCCTCCTTAGATTCAGGGTCATTTGAGGTGAAGTCTGGCCAAAGCAGACTGGAAGGAGGCTATTCCCAATCGGAAACCTCTCGATTCCTTCTTGACCATCATTTCCCCCTCTTTCAGGAGGCAGCAGGGGTCCGGACGCAGGGCTGGTGGCTGGCATTATCTGCTCCGTCCTGCTGGTTCTCCTTGCAGCCGCAATGGCAGTCCATTACCTGAAGAAGTGGAGGGTACCGGAGGAGAGGAGGCCCATCGAACGCAGCAGCGTCCAGGGGTTTGACAATGTCGCCTTTCAAAACGTAAGCCACTTCTCTCTCAGGATGTTTCATCCTTCTGTTTTAGTAGTTGCATGGTGTTGATTTTAAATTTTATTATTTTTTTGCCATATAAACAATTCCTAGAGTTGGAAGGCACCCCAAGGAGCCATCCAGTCCAACCCCCTTCTGCCAGAAAGACACAAACAAAATAATCCTGACAGATGACCATCCAGCCATAGATATGATCGAGATATTATATGTGTGTGTATATATACATGTGTGTGTATGTATGTATTATTGAAATACAAGTATTGAATCCTAGAGTTGGATGACTCCCTAATGTGATCCCCACACATACAAAAAAATGAATGAGAGGGAAGATTAGAATTGGAAGGGACTCAGCCCAATCTCATGTTGCGTGGCAGGAAGGCACCATCCAATCTCTCCCAACAGATGGCCATTCAACCATAGATATGGTAGATAGAAAGGTATGATAGATCTATCATAGAATCAGCCATAAAGACACAAACAAAACCCTCTTGATGGTTAGCCATCCAGTCCCTGTAAAATGCAATTTGTTTCATAAAGATCAAGTAGACAGAACATATTGTAGAGAATTAAAACAACTTAGTTTCCAGGTATTTTAATTATTATTAAATAATTATTAATATTAATTATTTAATTATTAAAACAACTGGAAAAGGTGACATGATATGAGGATTTAAAGATCGAACTGCAAAGACTCTGGCACAAGCCAGTCAAGGTGGTCCCAGTGGTGATCTGCTCAGGGCCTAAAGAGCTTGGCCTGCACATACACACAATCAGTGCTGATAAATTTACCATCTGCCATCTGCAAAAGGCCACCCTATTTGGATCTGCACGCATTATTCACTGATACATCATACAGTCCTAGACACTTCGGAAGTGTCCAACGTGTGATCCAATACAAAAGCCGGCATAAATATCGTGTTTGCTGTGTATTAATCTTGTTTCGTATCAGATAATAGAGCCACAGAATCCTAGAGTTGGAAGAGACCCCCAAAGGCCATCTTGTCCAACCTCCTTCTGTTACATAAAAATGCAGTCTGATCCCTCCCAACAGATGGCCCTCCAACATCTATTTAAAAGCCTCCAAAGGAGCCTCCAATGGACTCCAAGGCAGTGAGTTCCACTTTTGAACAGCTCCTTTGACAGTCAGGATGTTCTTCCTCATGTTCAAGTGGAACCTCCTTCCTTGCCATTTGAGCCCATGGCTCCACTGCATCCTAGTCTCCAAGGCAGCAGAAAGGAAGCCTTAGCTTCCCCTCTTCCTTACAGCCTCCTTCCCAATGTGTAAACATGGCTCCTCTCAAGTGGAAAGAAGCACCAATGTCCTCTCACCATCATGGAAGGCCAGAGCAATTCCAAATGGCATTGGTGGCCCATTCTTTGGCATTTCCTTCATTTCACCATTGCTGTCTCAATAATAATAATAATCATCATCATCATCTTTATTTATACCCCGCCACCATCTCCTCAATGGGGACTCGGAGCGGCTTACATGAGGCCAAGCCCAAACAACAAAATACAATAAAATACAACTGAAAACGCAAACCAATGGGTCGTACCGAGAGCCAGAGTCATAATAGGAGTTGGAAGGGATCCCCGGGGCCATCCAGTCCAACCCCCATGTGCCAGGTGGGGAAAGCACAAGGTCCTCCCCCTTCCTTTTCAAGCAGGACATAAATGATCCTAATGAAATCCCAATAACCTACTCTCTTGGCTCAACAGGACCAAGTCACCATCCCACCGCTGCCTAATGAGATGGAAGCGGAATAGAGTCCGACCTGCAGCAGCCCTTCTTGCTGACCCCGCTGCCCAGTCGTCTTCTGTGCAAGAAGCATATCTCTCTCTCTCTGAGGTTCGGGTTTCCTTCTTGTTTCAGCAGCTGAGAGACCAGGAAACAGGGCTGTGCTGCATTTGAGATCTTTTTATATAAATAAGTATTGAAAAATCAAAGCATTTAGTGCTTTCCCCTTTTTATGTATTTGTAATAATATCATCTTTTGCAAAATTTGCAGGAAATGACTGATGCCAATGCCTAAAACCAGCCACTAAGTGGTCTTTGGAAAACTTTCCCTGTTGGGAAACGTTTCCTGACCCCAAAATTCAGCGAAGAGGGTCATTTGGGATCAGCCCCGCAGTTTAATCAAGGGACAAAGCGTGTATTGGCCACCATAGCAATTCATGAACCACATACCCTTCCCCCACAAAAGCCATTCTCAAAACTTTGAACACCACCCCCCCCCCCAAAAGAGAAGACTTTTGCTCTGTTTCTTTTGCCCCTGGCAGGTTCAAGTCGCAGCTTTTTTTTATTAGATTTCAGACACTCGACCTCGCTTTCGGAAGGAGAAAAGAGGCGGGACGGAGGATGTCCCAAATGGAAAGGTTTATACAAACGTTTCTCCCTCCCTCCCCTCCCAAAACAACAAGAACAACCGCAGGGCTGAAATCCTGGAGGTTTGCTCCAACGTTGAAGCCGCTTGAAGGGAAGCCGCTTGGTCGGAGGAGGAGGAGGAGGAAGAGGAGTGTCAGTCGGGGCGCACTGACTTCGAGGCTTTGTCCTCAGTTCCCTTTGGGGCCCTTTTCGAGGGGTTTCCCAATGTCCCGCCCGCGGAGCTTGAGGCCTGGGAGACAAGGAAGAAACAATGAGGAAGGGGGGACTTTTGGGTCAGGAATACAAGCTGCTGGGCTTGACAACTCCCAGAATGCCTTGCCACTGGCCACATAACGCCTTGCAATAATGTCTGGAGATGATGGGATTGGAAATGAAGGCAGAGACTGGCAAAAAGCTCCTTTGAGGTATATATTCAGTGGTTGCCCTTTGTCCCAGCGCTTGCAAAGCTCCCAAATGGAAGATAACAACTCCCATCATCCCTAGACAGTGCAGCTATTTCTTAAGGGGAAGCAATCTATATAAATAAAAATGTAACATTTGTTTGTGGGATTCACATAACTCAAAAACTACTGGACGAATCAACACGAAATTTGGACATAATACACCTATCAGGCCAATGAATGACCATCACTCATAAAAACACTGAAAAACAGAGCGGAAGGGACTTAACAAGGCAAAAAGACACTATAGCGCATGCGCAAAAATGACTCTTCCCTGGCAAACAAAACACACAATAGCATATCCACACTCTCTTCCAGACTACAGCTCCCAGCATCCCCTAGACCAGGTCCTTTAGGGGAGGAGAAGGATGCAAATGCACTGCTTTCAAGCTTCAAGCCTTCTTCTCCTTTGATTTCTTTGAGAGCATCCCAATCCCTGCATATTTCCAGTTTCCTATTCCTGGACTGCAACTCCCAGATAGAGATAGATAGGTAGGTAGTTAGATCGATCTGGAGGACTGCTGGTAGTCCAAAAATTGGTGGAGAAGGAAGAAAGAGGAAAAAGAGGAAGGGAAATAAAAGGGGGGGGGGGAGAGAGGAAGGAAGGAGAGAATGAAAGAAAAAAGGGAAGGAAGGAAGGAAAGAAAGGAGGAGAGAAATAGGGAGAGAGGGTTGGCCACAGCAACGTGTGGCGGGTACAGCTAGTACTAATAATAATAATAATAAATAGTGTGTTGCTGTGAGTTTTCTGAACTGTATGGCCGTGTTCCAGAAGCATTCTCTCCTGACGTTTCACCCACATCTATGGCTGGCATCCTCAACCCCAACAAAGGATTCCCCCAGGCTGAAATCAGCCAGGCTTTGGAGCTGCGAGGCTATTTAAAGCTAATCAAGCCAGCCAATTGCAACATTGACACTTTCCTCCAACAGACAAGTGGTGGAGAAGAGTCCTCTCACCCTGGACATCATTCCACAGACATATAAAACCCACTTGCCTAAATGTGGGCAAAACGTCAGGAGATAATGCTTCTGGAACATGGCCAGACAGCCCGGAAAACTCACAGCAACCTAATGATTCCAGCCATGAAAGCTTTTACAACACATAATAGTGTGCTTTCAAGGGAGGGAGAGCCATTCCTCCTTTTGCTACTGGGCCATGCAATAATTTAAACCCAGCCCTGGGCCTCTCTCGCTTCCAAAGGCACACATCTCGCTCCGCCAGTGTTGAAAAGCAATGACATTAAAGATTTGGAATAAGAGGTGCGTCTTGCACAATGCACCCCAAGTGCAGACCTTTCCACCAACACGGATCTTGGGCAACATCTTTGCAAAGGATGTATGTATCCAGGAAAACATCCATCCGTCAATGGGAAAAAGGATCATCGCATGGGAATGGGGTTCAGCTGGAAGAGGAGGAAAGCCCGGAGGGGGGGGGGGAATGGGCAGAGCCAGGCACCGCACTCACCGATGGCCCTCTCGATCTTGCCCAGCACTTGGTTGTTGGGGATGGCCTTCCCCGATTCATAGTCCGCAATGACCTGGGGCTTCTCGTTGATTTTCTGAAAGAGGGGAAAGAGGCTGTTTTTAGAACCTTCTGGCTGCAAGAATCATGGAACTCACTACCTTGGAGGCTTTGAAGCAGAGGCCGGATGGTCATCTGTCAGGAGGGATCGGAAGCTGCCAAAGGCAGAAGGGGTTTGGACTGGATGGCAATCGTCTCATGGCAGAAGGGGGATCCGATCCCTTTGTCTGATGTCTAGACAACACTTTAGGGGTGTTGTGCCCAGCCATTGGTGACCTCAGATGAACCAGGGAGGGGGAGAGGGGGGTTTTCCTTTGAGGCTGAGAGAGTGCGACCGCCCCACAATTTCGGCCCTCTTACCGTGGCGAGGTCCTTCTGAGTGAGGCCCTTGCCTTGCCGGCCCTGCTGGATGACCTTGCCCACTTCGAGGGGCACCCGGTCGTGGTGCAGCTCCTCCGTCTCCCGGTCCAGCTTTGCCGTGTTTTTGGTGATGGAGTGCTGCTTGTTCTGGCCCGCCGCCCCTGCGAGTAGGGACCCACATGTGGCTGTGCAACTGCCTCAGCATGGGGCACACCAAGAAGGATGGCTGTCTGTCACGAGGGCTTGGGCTGTGCCTTCCTGCCTGGCAGAAGGTAGCTGGGCATGGTGACCTTTAGAGCATAGCAATACAGTAGTGGACTATACAGTGGCCCTGAGTCTGGAGAAGTCTCCTTCTCTGGAGGGTTTTGAAGCAGAGGCTGAATGGCCATCTGTGGGGAGGATGTTGATTGTTTCTTCCTACCTATCAGGAGGGGGTTGGACTGGATGGCCCTTGGGGGTTCTTTCCAAATCTACGATTTTATATCAATCATACACACATACACACAAATACCGGTATATCACATATCTATTTATCATCTCTCCCTCCTTTCAATCATATTTATGGCTAGATCACCATCTGTTGGGAGGATTTTGTTTGTGTCTTACTGCCTATCATAAGGTATAGACAGGACTGGATTGGCCCTTGGGGGTCCCTTCCAACTCAACGATTCTATATCAAATACACATGAACATATATATGCATATATACACACACACACACACACATACTAGTATATCAAATATCTATTTATCTGTCATATCTCCCTCCTTTCAATCATATCTATGGCTGGATGGCCATTTGTTGGGAGGATTTTGATTGTCTCCCTGCCTATCATAAGGGACATATTTATTTATTTATTTATTTATAGTATTTATTTTCTGCCCTTCTCACCCCGCAGGGGAATCATAGATAGACAGGACTGGATATCATACACACACACACACACGAACACACATACACACACACTCCAGTGTATCTATGTATCTCTCTCCCTCCTTTCAATCATAGCTATGGCTGTATGGCCATCTGTTGGGAGGGTTTGGATTGTGCCTTCCTTTGTGGCAGAAAATGGTTGGACTGGATGGTCCTTGAGGGTCCCTTCCAACAATAAGATTTTATATGTATATATATACGATATAGAATCTTAGACTTGGAAGGGACCTCCAAAGGGCATCCAGTCCGACCCCCAACATATACATACACATGCACACACACTGGTATATCATATCATAATCTAGCATATCAATCACCCTCTCCTTTCAATAATATCTATAATATCTGTGGCTGGATGGCCATCTGTCAGGAGGGTCTGGTTGGTGCCTTTCGAACTGGCAAAAGGAGTTTGGACCAGATGGCCCTTGAGAGAGTCCCTTCCACATCTAGGATTCAGTGACAAGATCTACCACATATCTCTCCATTGTAGCCATCATCTTTCAATCATACCTATAGCCACCTATCTTTGGCTGGCTGGCCACCTGTGAGGAGGACTTGGATTGGGTCTTTCTGCTTGGCAGAAGGGGGCTGGACCGGATGGCCTTTGGGGGTCCCTTCCAACTCTAGGGCTGGGCCTTTTCCTTCAGGGTTCCTTACATTTCTTGGAGGTCTCCACGTCTTCGCCTCTTCTCTGCGCTGCCAGGACGGCCTGGAAAGGCAAAGGTTTGCTTTAGGTTTTGACTCTTTATTACCCTCCATGGATTTAATATATTAGCATTACTATATTACAATATTACTATATTACATTATTATTGCTATATATTATTATAGTGTATCATTATTAGTATTATATTGTTACATTATAATTATATATATATTTAATATATTAGCAATACTATATTACAATATTACTCTACATTATTACAGTGTATTATTGTTAGTATAATATTGTGTTACATTTATAATATAATTATATATATTCAATATATTAGCATTACTATATTATATTATTGTTATATATTATTATAGTGTATCATTATTAGTATTATATTGTTACATTATATATATATTTATTTACCTTACTTATATACCGCTGTTCTCAGCCCGAAGGCACCTCACAGCGGTTCACAACAAATACGAACAGCAAAAATTCAGTGCTACAGTATAGAAACAGTTAACAACCTAACACATTACACAATTAATAAACAGTTACTACAATACCTATTCACTG